AGTCATACATCACCCCCATAATCTGTTTTCCCATTTTTCGCAATCCCCAGAAAAGATTCCACTGAAGAAAAGTGAGGGGAAGAAATTAATCAAATGTTAATATATTGTTAACTCACACAGTAATTCGAAGTGTAAGAAAACAGTGATCATTATTGTCATCATCCACACCCTCTTCCTCCTCTTAAAAGCCAACATTTATTTAGTTTTATTATGTGCCAATGGACTTTATATAAGCCTCCTAACAACCCTTTCAGGTAGGGTTTCCCATTTTGCAGAAGAGGAAACAAGAAACTCAGAGAAATTAAGTAACTTGTCCCAGGTTGCAGGGTAGAAAGCAGGAAGGGCTGGATATGAATCCAGGCACTGTGACTCCAAAGTCTGCATCTGACACCATCCTGTCATGTGGGCTTACTATTTTCAAAGTGCTACTGACCCATCATGTTCAATCTATATTTAAAGAGGAAAGTGATAATACCACAGTACAATGGAAGGTATATTTAAATTACCCTTTAGAGCAGGAGTCAGCAAACTATGGCAGGCTGACAGAGTAGTCTATAGCGACATTATGGCCTAAAAACGTATTAATAAAATACTTGCTATCTGGCCTTATAAGTTTGCCAATCCCTGCTTTAAAAATTTTATAGTAACTTTGGTCTGGCAAAAGAACTTTATAAAAGTGAAGACTTTTCCCTTCCATTTAAAAAATATTACTAAGCACTAAACTACTTTTTAAAGTTTGAATAATTCTATTTGACTAGCTAAAAAAGAAGTATTTTCCTATTTTCTCTCTCCCAGTAATACATAACTCTGCAGAAGATATTTATAGCCACTAAAAAATGTTTACTATTCGTTATCAGAAGGAAATAGGTCTTTACACTTGGGATTACTTAACTTGTTCCAATCCAGTAATACTATTATCCTATTTTACAACTTGGAAAATTTTTACAAATAATTTTAAGGGATGAACAAAACAGCCCTACCAATAATTATCAATATTACAATTTTTACTAAATCCTTGTCATAAATTATCTCAAAATAGTGTTATATGCATATGTACATATTAAATAAAAATATTTACTGTTTTTTGAATGATATAAAAATGCTGTGCACTGTTATGAAATAAAGTAAGGCTGTGTTGTCATTCCATTTTCTCTCATGCAGATATTCCCTGCTTTTCTCCCTCTGATCCCTCAGCTTCCCAACTACTGTACTCCAGTGCACAAGTGGTCTAGCTTCTGGCTAAGATCTAACCAAGTATAGCTGCTTGTTAAGAGTTCCTGAATCCATGGTTACTTGATAGTGTTGGTTGTGAGAATTTAATTTTGCCACAGTTACTAAATTATTTATTGCATAAGAAATCCCAAAATTGTAAATCCCCACTTAAGCAACACTGCTTCATTCCAATTCAGAATATCAGTACACAAACTACTTTTATAGCCTTGTTCTCCTCAACAGTTGTCAATTATGAAGAATTCACAGGTTATCAGAGCAAACGTTCTTCAGGCTCATCCTTATTGCCATAAACCAAATTTATCTATTTTAAATTAGCCTCTCTTGTACTGAGTTAAATCAATCAACTAATTTTGCTAAGAGTTCAACACTATCCTAGGAGCTCTGAGAACAGAGATTTAGTGACAGAAATGGTCCATTAAATAGTAAGAATATAAGCCTCAGTAAAAAGTGTTTCATATGGCAAGTGTTTTAAACACTGAGTATAACTAATGAAACTAAAATAGTCATGAAGGTGACGATTGAGCTGCACTTTAAGAATGAGTGGAAATTAGGCAGGTAGAAGAAAAAAGATATTTCAGAATTTAAAAGCCATCATTTGGGGCTGGAGATACTTTTTTGCATGGTAAATTTTTATAGTAGCATTTGCTACAATGTGACTTACCCTGTAATGAAAGTAGCTTAATTATAGTTCTAGATTTAGCATTTATAACAGATAATTGGGGAAAAAAATTGGCAAGTTTTTAATGGGCAAAATAATCACCATAAATTAAGAAAAAGTTAAAAAGAAATAGTCTACAAGGGCATTTATCATCAAATAAGCAAAACAGTAAATTACAACATAAAGCAATAATTTACTTTTATTGTATAAAGTCTGCAAATATAATTAAATTCCCAAAGATAAATTCTCTTGCTTCTTCTATATTACAGAGTTCCTGATCAATTATTGATTATTCGTTTATCACCTTAGCAGGGTTTTAAGAAAATTATCAGAGTCAGGCCCTGAAATAGGTTTTTCATTCACCAAAGTGATCCCAGGCCACATTAGAAAGGAAGGAGACATGCAGACCTTCCCTAACCGATTTAGCAAAAAGAAGTCTTGTCACTATGAGAACCACACTACCATACCTGTAACAAAGGTTCCTTTTCCCCAGTTAGATTAGCTCATCTCTGCACATTAAGTTTATTCGCCTTGAGAACCAAGGCCTGGGCTCAAAATAAGCTGCATATATTAGGCTAATTTCTGCTTAATTTTTCCCCCACTAGTATGAGTCAAGAGTATCCTTTTGTTAAAATAATGTCAATAAAAGAGTATCAAAAAAGGTTGTGTTAAAAGGCAAACACACATACACACAGACACACATTTGGAAACATGTTTTCTTCAAAAGATAAAAGGCAAAAGAAAAAAAATTTTTTGAAATAATTAAAATCTGGAAAATCACATATAAAGTTCAAAGTTGAAAGACAGAGAAAGAGATGAAAATGTATACATAGAAATTATTTCTTTATCCTGCTCCAGAAAGAAACATAAAATTATTTCCTTTGATGTGCTGAAAC